CCAGTGGGCCTCAGCAGATGGCCGCTCACACTGAGCCTGGTTCTGCTGGAGGTTTCTTCCTGTTCAAAGGGAGTTTTTCCTCTCCACTGTCGCTATAAGCATGCACATTTAGCAATGAAGTTGTAGAGAGATCTGCAGCAGTGCTAAGTAATACAATAATTTTATAATTTTTTTTTTCATTGAACTTTATTGAACTAATATTGGAGAAATTTACCTCTGCATTAAACCCCTCCCCTTGGGGAGCAGTGGGCTGCCATTGTGCGGCTCCTGGCGAGCAGTGTGGGGTTAAGGGTCTTGCTCAGGGACCCAGAGTGGCAGTTCAGAAGACACCGTTCAATCCATTATCTAAAATCCAAAATAATGGGACCAAGCTGTAAACCTACCAAAACATGGACACTCGTCAAACCCACCGTCCATCAAGAGAACAAGTTGCCCTTGGCAACCATGAATATCCACATCTAAGGTTCTGCTAGCTTGTATTGCGATGGGTGTTGTGATACGATACGTGTCGTAGTACTTGGGTCACTATTCATATTATCACAATATTGCGATATCACTATGTAATGCGATATTTTACCCAGGTCTCAAAATGAAAGGTAAGTGCCGTATATGTTCATCAGAATCCATATTGTTTGGGGTTTGAGTCAGAGATGGTGACCTGCTCCACAGCGCCATCTACCAGAGTGATGGTGCAGAGGTACTCCATTTTCCCTTCATTGTTTTCGGTGAAATGCTTTGTTTTTTTTTTCTTTTTTATTCTTATGAAAATTGATATTAGGAGCTGAAAGATTGATATTATATTGGGCAGCCGAATATCACGATATATTACCAAATCGATTTTTTTCCACACTCCCACTGCTAACATGGCAGCTTATAGTCCTGCATCTCAGAAATTTTACCTTTATGGAGCGAAAGCTGGGGTTGAAATAAAGATTTTAGACTTAGAGAGTCAAAGTGAATTTTGAAATCAAGGTTTTGGGGATTTTCATGCTGTAAACTACAAGCATGACGTCTAAAAAACAAACAGCAATCCAGTGGTTTCCAAACTTCCTGTTAAGTGGGCAAAAAAGTCTCAATGTAAAGGTGCTCAGCGGTCAAAGACATACATTTATGAAAAGATGACATTAAAAATAAGATTTGTGATTTTTGTTTTAAGCTGTTCAATAAACAGTATTACTATAAACTCTTTTTTTAAAACTGTCTTCCTATTTACCGAAAGAAAAAACTTACTAGTTGGATGCTTTCCAGTTTAGGATGAAATTAAAGAAAATACAAAAGGTTAAAACACATTGAAATATAATAATATAATAATCCTCCCCCCCCCCCCCCCCCCCCCCCCCCCCCCCTCCCCATGATTTTTTTAAGCTTTCCCTAATTAATAAAACAAAACTTTTTCACTCACCTTTACCATTTTGAAGGCTCCACATCCATTTTTCCTCCCTTGCTTTTGTTCAGTCCAGCTGCAGCACGCTCTGGCGTCTGCAGATGTGCTGGTTTGCTTTTCCTGCTCTGAGGAGCTCTGAGACGGAGGCTGGTGGACGTCACTCTGACATCTAGAACAAGAAAGGTGACATTTCAAATAAATGCTAAATGCTTGGTGGCTAAATGCCACCAACAATTTAGATATGAGAAATCTATTGTTATAAAATGATATCTTAAGGGAGTAATTCTCTTCAACCTGCACTTGTCCTGTCAGATCTCAGTGCAGCGTCTGATAAGATTGATTAGGTGTTCGTAATTCCCTTTGATGATTTAATCTTTTAATTTTCTCACACATCAATAAATGGTCTGGAATATCCCCAGATCGGTGCTTCTCTATTCTTTTTGCACAACTTTCAGACAAGTAATCTGTCATGGTAACTGTTGACTCACCCGTCACCACAGCCATGGTTGTGTGGAAGGTTCCTCTTCTCCTCTAAGGAGAAGCTCTGTTCTCTCTTCTTCAGAGCCCTGTCATCTTCCTCTTCATCAGAGGCAGCTCTCCCCTCTACTGCCCGCTGCAGACATTCAGCATCTGAAAAGAGATCAACTGGATTTCAATATGTGAAATCCTTTACTGTACAGTTTTTGTAATAATCCCCAGTATTTCACCCATTTTACCAAATAATTCCTCAGGTTGAGATAATCGACCTGTGGCGACAGAGAGGCATGTGCCGCCAGTTCTGCTGGAGAAAGAGATGAGATGACAAGCATTTATGAAACAAGATGCAGGTTTATTTAGCACTGTCGCCTTTTAGTTTGTTAAAAAAAATAACATATGAGCAGTATTTGTTATAAACTAGGTCTTAATCCTGATTCAAGTGGTCGAATGGTGGCTATTGCAGTTTTTTAACAGCTCAAATGGTATAAACAAGGGAATGTAAACAACTGCAATCCTGAAAAAGAGAATGTAACAGTGAGAGGAAAACTGACCGATATGTCCTCCTTCAGACTAAGCCTCTAGCAGCATAGCTACAGATACAGCTCCTAATGTGGATTAAAAACATCCCACGCATCTGCAGGGAGCAGTGTAGCTCCAACAGAGACAGACCCCAGATCTATTTCAGTTGGACTACATGTCAATTCAGGGCTACTTCATGGGTCTGACAGGAACACACAAGCATGTCATGTTTTTTTGTTTTTTTTATGCACCAGTAGTCTTATTCGCGGGGGATGTTTTTATTTATCAATATGGGTGAGATGTGTCCCGCACCTCCTCAATGAGATATGAGCTAGTGCGTGCCCTCAAACACGTTCAGTAGGGGTTGCCTCAGGGAAGCGGGTACAGGGTTGTGCATGTGCATTTTTTTTTTTTTTGTTAAGTGGAGAGGGCGGGTCTACCTTTATGTATAGTGTACAAAATACCTTGTTTTTATTGAGACACAATTCTAAGGCCGCAATTCTCTGTGACCATGTATCTGTTAATGTTTCAGATTCCCATCTCTTAACATTTTTGCGCTATTTTGCCTTATCTAGGTTTTTGAGTTGTAAGCAATGGATCTAATCTCTGGCTACTGTAGCGAGGCGCTGTACATGTCAGTAAAGGACAAAGGGAAATGATGTGTAACTGGATCCTCCAAACCACACCCAGCCTTTGTACCTGTACCGGAGCAGCTCGCTCTCCAGCTTGCTGATTTTGGACTGGAGCCGCGGCACAGACTGGGCCTGCTCCTGAATCAGCCGGACCCTCTGCAGCCCTAAACTCAGAGCCTCTCTAGCTTCCTCTGCCCGCTTCCTGTTAGCAAAGATTATCAAAATGTTTCATTGAAATAAATAAAAACAAACTTTTGTTCAATTAAAGGTTATATGCAACACCTGATCTGGTTGTTCTCCTTCCTCAGGGAGGACTCCACCCCCTGCAGCTTGCGCACCTCCTGATAAGCCCATTGCAGCTCTTCCTCCAAGCGCTCATTGAATTTGATGGCCTCCTCTAGCTGCCCATCCCGTGAGGATCGAATCAGCTTTAGCTCCCTCAGTATGGGGTCTCTGATATCCCACCTCCTCTGTCCGCTCCTTGTTCCGTCTTCCCGTTGAACCCCAGGCTGATGTTTAAGTCTGTCAGTTGGCACCAGCTTTGCCCGCATTAGGCTCCCTGAGGGTTTAGGAGTGGAAACAGAGGCACTGTGGGTAAAGGGGGCAGTGAGCGTCCGGCTCCTCTCCCGTCTGAGGGCCACTTCAAGGGCCAGACAGCGAGCATCGCTCCCCTGCAGAGCAGAGCGGAGGTCCTCAACCAGCTCTCTGAGAGCAGCCACCTCATCTGGAAAAGATAAGGTTCAATTCAAACTTTCTGTGAGGAGTGGAAATCTCATGACATCAGAATTCCCAAAAGAATTGTTTAGTCTGGGCCCGGGGTTATTCTGCATGGAGTTAGCATGTTCTCCCTGAGCATGCGTGGGTTCTCTCTGGGTACTCCGGCTTCCTCCCACAGTCCAAAAACATGTATGTTAGGTTAACTGGCTTCACTAAATCCTCCTTAGGTGTGTGTGAATGGTTGTTTGTCTCTGTGTTGCCCTGCGATGGACTGGAGATCTGTCCTTCTTTTTGGTATTTAGTCTTTTCTACCAAATATTGCCACTAAGAGACATTTCATGCAGGTACCTTAAAAATTCAAATACCCAAACTAATGCGCTGACTGCATTTCTTAATAGGATACATCAGAGGTCAGGGATTAGCGGACTAGGTTCCGGATCCGGATCCACCTGATGGCTAATCTGGACCCAACCTAATTTGAAATATTTATAAATTACCGCATGTTGTCCAACGGCAGTGTCTAATTTCACTTGCGCCGCTTCTCCTGTTAATGTGGTAAAGCCCTAGGGAGCGTCCGGCTCCAGGCTGCACGTGATCCAAATGAGCCAATGAGCTGTCAGTCTGGGTTGCTGCTGCTGCTACTTTTAGACACAGCAGGCAAACCTGTGGCAAGCCGGGCGATGGGAAAGAAGGAGAAGA